ACACTGGTGTCCCACAATGCAATGGTGCAGTAATGTGCAAATCTTTATGTATTCTTTGTTAATGGCGAGCCAATAAGACATAATTTCTCATTACCTATGCATGGACAAAATTACGCGGGCTTTTTTGTAGCCAAATTGTAATTTGTATTGTCATTCTTTCAGGCAGCCCAAACTAGCCGGAGTCTACCTTATGGCTGCGTATGGCACGATTCCGAACACAGGAAAAGAAGGTAAACATGAATTTAAAACATTAATTTGAATAAATTAAACTTAAAATTAGTTTCGACCACTCTCCTGGCAGGTTATATCTTTAAAAAACACATATGATCTAATATGGCCGTCTGGCGGTCATCGTTGTCATACATATGCTTCCTTGCTAATATATCAATACTTTATATGTATAATGTCTCAATTGTAACAATACATTTACACGCTTTATATAATTAATGTCTTCAACAGTTTATCAAGAGGTCGCATGTCTTTATGAAGACAAACCTACGATGCATCCATTTGCTTTCCGCACCCATACACATTCACTTGGTGAGTATGATTTGTTGTTTATGTTTACCATCAAATTTATGAAGATTTCATGCAATTAATCGTTTTTCACCAGTCTTGTATAAGCGCACCTATTTTCGGTCAGGAACTGAGGTCACGCTTCTTAACGTCGCAGTTGACGAATATAGGGCGTTCGCGCGCATTGGAAGCGCGGTGAAACCGGCGGGTGAATGACGGGTATAACGTAGCTAATATAATTTATTGTGCGATGAGCCGCTCATTCAAATGCTAGAATATGGCCACATATATTTGTTTACATTGTTTATCATTTGAATGTTGTGCTCCGAAAAAAAATGATTTGAGCGAATATCATCACTAATTTTTCGTTTAGTTGTTCGTTTTATTATACCTAGATGCCGGGTATAGAAAATGTCTTTTTGGACAAGAAAAAAACAACAAAATAAAACAAAACACACACACACAAATTTCCTCAAAAACTGGAAAAAGGGTAGACAAGTGTGATCAGGGAATGATGGAATCACCATTTATGGAACACTATATTCCTGTCGGTAACTTTCACTACGATATTAAAGAGTATATGTGATCAAGCGTAGAATTACATATTGCATCTAATCTATAAAATAAAAAAGATATCCAATGTCAGATTATAATTGATTTCACCCTTCAGCAGTGATAAACTGACAACATTTTTTGCTTGTCAGAACAATGTTTTGATTCAGAATTATATTTCAATTAATCGTTAATGTTGTCGTACCTGGGAAAGCAATTAGTGATTGTGTCACTACTGATACGAACTAAGTCATGCAAAACTGGATTTACGCAGTGAAGTGGCAAGAACCGCTCGTCATATGGATTCACATAGATCATAAAAAAACATGCAACTTGAGACCATTTGGCCTATAGAAGGGGTGGATAAATAATAATGCATTTCTTTCGTTTCTTCGTAATGTTGCTTGTAATCCCATTTGGTAATTCATTGCTAACTTACTAAAACGAAAATGTTACTCAAGTCAACCAAATTATGGCCCACTAAGGCAACACTGTCGTATTTCAGGAAAGGGGTATAAAATATTGAAGACACAACATCTTTAAAATAAACACTACTTACATATTAGTTTAATTCGTTGGTAATCTAGGCACAGTTGTAGCTGGGTATCGCGTAACAGATATCGACGGACCAAATACTGAATGGACGGAAATAGGACGTAGGAACCCACAATTACCTCAGGTATTATTTACAACCAATATGACACCATTTAATTTGCCGTCTTTTACAATTACTTCGTGTTCCCAGCGCTTTTAGGCTGAATATACAAAATGATTTTGATATTTTTTTCTACCCGCGATTGTTAACACGTCATTTGAATAAAGTGCTCATTAAAGGGCAAATAATTTACATAGCTAAACTTAAGATTAACAATACAAGATGTTAAGATAATATATACATATACCTATCAGTGTGGAAAAATAATCAACGCCACTGCATACACATCAATGTCAATTCGAGTTAGAATCATTAGGTTATACTGGGATTTATTCACGTATTTATTCACAAATTAACGCAAATCGTATGTTCTCCCTTTTTTTCGTAGATGTTTTATCCAATAAGAAAAAATATACCCATTTCGCAAGGTGATGTACTGGTGAGTGACTGTGTTTTCATTCTCAATTTGTCCAAATGGAGAGTTGTATATAATATAACACCATGCAAACCGATCCCGAGAAAACCATTTGATATTCGGAACAAGTTGTATATAATATTTGTTTATAACTATGCATTGGTAATTGGTACATGCGTTAATTTGGTGAACATAAACTTTGCTCAAACTTGTAGCTGAACAAATTGTCAAATTGTTTTGTTAAAAATGTTTACTCAAATTTACGTAAAATTATTCCAGCAGCGAATTGGGGGAATATTCCCCCTACCCATAAAACTTATGTGTGCGCACTTCTATGTTTCAATGAGTATTTAATGTGTTTTTTTCCGAATAAGAAACAGATTTGCGAAAATGATTTAGACGCAGTTATATAATTGAACGTTTGGCAGTGGTTTACTACTTGCGAAATTACAAGAATGTTGCTCCTATCCCAGGGAAGTGTCCAAACCGACGACTGAATCACGAGCCCGGGAATATGTAGTAGAGGCTGAGACGAAAAATCCGAAATAGAACATTTAGCTTATACACCAATTTGTTAATTGAGTCACAGATCCCTTCATTGCTAATATTAGAGTACATTGTTATTATTAAGTATTTTATTAGGACGATTTGGCTCAAATGGTCGCACTAAAATTAACTCAATTGACAACGCGTTTTCTTAAAATCAACGCACTTATGTATGTAAATTATAATACTGAGATATAAACATTACAAACTCTGAACATAAATCTGTAATTTGTTAATCAAAAATTATGTGTTCTTTATTTGATACTACAGGCAGCAAGATGTACAATGGTTAATAACTTGGATCACGTGGTCTCGACAGGGTAAGTCCCTCTCTATGGCATCACAACGCCCATACCATCACTCATTTATCACACCCCATATATAATTCCAATTTACGCTAAAATATAACTACTAGTAAGCAAGAATCTGTAAACACACCAAACCCTTTTTATTTTTTTCACTATTCTGTTACATGATATCAATCACTAACATT